GGGGGGGGGGGGGGGGGGGGGGGGGAACATGATTCCACTGTTTGAGGGGCTGCACCAAAGAGGAAAGGGTCAACTTACTTTCCAAAGCGCCAGAAAGAAGGACAAGAAGCAATGGATGGAAACTAAACAAGGAGAGGAGCAACCTGGAATTAAGGAGAAACTTCCCAAACAGGGAGGGACAATGAACCAGTGGAACTCCTTGCCTCCAGAAGTTGTGAGTGCTGAGGCTTTTAAGAAGAGACTGGACAGCCACTGGTCTGGAACCGCATAGGATCTCCTGCTTGAGCAGGGGGTTGGACTAGAAGACCTCTAAGGTTCCCTTCCTCAATCTTATTCTGATTGATTGGAGATCTGAGTATTAACAGGACTTGGTGTAGGCTGGGGTGTCCAACTTTGGCATCTTTTGAAGATTCTGGACTTCGACTCCCAGAATGCTGGCTAGGGGATTCTGGGAATCGAAGTCCATGGGTCTTCCAGTAGCCACGGTTTTGGACATCTCTGATGCAGACCAAGACAGTTTCCATTTTTTTATGGTCCTTGATGCTGGGCGAGGCGAGATCAGCCGGGCAGAGTGGAGTGTGGGCCTTCTGGGGCTCCTGTGGAGAGTTTCCTCGGCCGCTGAGACTTTGGAAAACGCCATAAAAGGCCTCCTGCGTAGGACAGGCTGGGCCCTTTTCTTGCTCTCCCCTCCGTTGCTCCTCCACGGGGACAAATGGCTCGTTTCCCTTCCTCTTCCTTGCAAAAGTGGCCCTGCGGGGAATGAGGGGTGGGTGGGAAATGGGGCAGGGAGAGGCTTCCAAAGCGAGGCTCCGAAGGGCAAGAGGTGGCCTGGATTTAGCCCCTAACTGTTTGCGGCTTCCTCCGGGGCTAAAAATTAGGACGTTCAGACAAAACAGAACAAGCTTTGCTTCACCCGAAAGGAAATACATCCGCCCCTCCCTTTATGACCATTTCACTGCTAAGCAAGTTCAGTCGGTGGTGCCTGATTTTGTGACCGTTTTGTGGGGTTTTTTTTGGACCAGGCTTCTTAAGCGAAACGTAGCTGTTGTTCAGTGAATCGTATGGTCATTAAATGAATCAGTTGAGTTTTCTGGGCAAAAGTTGGCAGCTGAGCAGGTTGCAGATGGAGAGTCCGTGACTCCGAAAGGCAGCAACTATCGTAAATTGCCCAATTGCTTGGATTTTCATCGCATGGGGGATGCTGCGATCGTTGTAAGTGCGAGGAATGGTTGTAAGTCACTTTTCCCTTTGCTGTCATAACATTGGGCAGTCACTAAGCAAACGTGCCGTATTATGTCTGTCCCAGCTTCAAAGGAAAGGTCAAAGGTCCTGGCCTCTGTTGGATGACGTCTAGGGCAGTGTTTCTCAACCTTGGCAACTTGAAGATGTCTGGACTTCAACTCCCAGAATTCCCCAGCCAGCATTCGCTGGCTGGGGAATTNATGTTCCCCTTTTTCCCCCCCTTGAATTGTTCACCGCCCTGAGTCCTCCCGGAGAAGGGCGGCATACAAATAATAAAATACAATACAATACAATACAATACAAGCAGCCCCCGATCTCTTCTCCATAAATAAATAAAAATAAACCCAGCTGTGGAGGGCCAGAAAGAACCAGCTGGACCTAAAGGGAGTCCTTTACTGACGACCACAATTGAGCCTAACATTTCCGTTGCTAAGCGAGACGGATGTTAAGTAACTTCTGGCCCCGTTTACAGCCGGTCTTGGCCCAGTTGAACCACCGCAGCTGTTAAGTTAATCACACGGTCGTTAAGCGAATCCTCCATTAACTTTGCTGGCCAGAAGGTCGCAAAGGGGGGGATCACGTGACCCGGGGAACACTGCAACCGTCATAAATACATGCCAGTTGCCAAGCGTCCGGATTTTGGTCACGTGTCGATGGACAGATTCTGCAACCGTTGTAAGTTGAAGAACGGTTGTAAGTCCCTTTTTTTCAGTGCCGTTATAACTCTGGGCGGCCACTGCAGGAGGTGGTTGTAAGTCAAGGACTAACTGAACAGATGCCGTGGGTTGAGCGGCTGTGAGAATCTGCCTCTCTCTCAGACAGGAAGATCTCAAGGAGAGGGACCCCTGCCCCAGCGCCATGGATGTGGAGCCTGCTGGGAAGAGGGGAGAAGCCCAGGGAAGCCCTCCAGAGGAGCCGGTAGGTCCACCAAGGGGAATCCTCCATCACCTCTCACTGCAGGAGGCAGCATGGAGGCCATCGCTTAATTGTTATTTGGGGGAGAGAGAGAGCGGGGAGGGCAAATAAGTAAGTGAAATAAATTTAAGACTTTCAAAAAAGAAAATTTAAGACGCACTTCACAGACCTGTGAGCAAAAATGAAATAAGAGAAGCGGGGAGAAAAGGAGAAGAGAGATAAAAGGGGAGAAAAGGAGGAAAGGCAAATGAGAAAAGGAGGAGAAAGAAGAGGTGAGAGAGGAGAGGAGAGAAGATAAAAGGAGGAAAGAAGAGAAGGGGAGGAAAGGAGAAAAGACGAGAGAAAAGGAGGAGAAAGAGGAGAGAGAAGAGAAAAGGGGAGAAAAGGAGAAGAGAAGAGAGATAAAAGGGGAGAAAAGGAGGAGAAGAGGGGAGAAAAGAAAAGAACAGAAAAGGAGAAAAGAGGAGAGAAAAGGAGAAGAGAGGAGACATAAAAGGGGAGAAAAGACAAAGGAAAAAAGGAGAAAGAAGAAGGGAGAGAGGAGAGAAGAGAGACAAGGGGAGAAAAGAAGAGGGAAAAGGAGGAAAGAAGAGAAGGGGAGAAAAGAAGAAAAAAACATCAGAAAAGGAGGAGAAAGTAGAGGAGAGAGAGGAGAGGAAAGGAGGAAAGGAGAGAAGGGGAGGAAAGGAGAAAAGACAAGAGAGAAAAGGAGGAGAAAGAGGAGGAGAGAAGAGAGAAAAGGAGGAGAAAAGGGGAGAAAAGAAAAGAACAGAAAAGGAGAAGAAAGGATATAAAAGGGGAGAAAAGACAAAGGAAAAAAAGAGAAAGAAGAAGGGAGAGAGGAGAGGAGAGAGACAAGGGGAGAAAAGGAGAAGAGAGGAAAGGAGGAAAGAAGAGAAAAGGGGAGAAAAGGAGAAGAGGGGAGAAAAGAAAAGGAGAAAAGAGGAGAGGAAAGGAGAAAAGGAGAAGAGAGGAGACATAAAAGGGGAGAAAAGACAAAAGAAAAAAGGAGAAAGAAGAAGGGAGAGAGGAGAGGAGAGAGAAAAGGGGAGAAAAGGAGAAAAGAGAGGAAAGGAGGAGAGGAGAGAAAGGGGGAGAAGAGAAAAGGAGGAGAGAGAAAACACTTGCCTAACATTTAAATCCAGGGCTGGGGTTTTATTCCCGCGGTCGGGAGCCGCAGGGGAAGCCATTGGAGATGCTCACAGCCGCCCTTCTTCGTCTTCCCCGCTAGGCCTGTGAACTCCCCGATGGGCAGAAGCTGGACCACTCCATGTTTCTCGAACTGCAGGCAGCCTTCGAGGAGGAACTGAAGAGCCGGGAGATGTTGTGCCAAGAGCTCGGCGTGGTCAAGGTGGCCAACCAGACTTTGGCCAGGTGAGTTGAAGAGGCCGGGGAGGGGGAGGGCCTCTGCGGTCCAAAAAAGTCAAGTTTCCCCTTGACTTTTTCCTCCTCCCCTCTGGACAATCCCTTGGGGGGGAGAAAGCGTCAGGGAGGGGGATCCAGGAGAGACTTCATCCTGGTCCTTCTGGATCAGAGGTCCTCAAACTTGGCAAACTTGAAGACCTGTGTGGACTTCAACTCCCAGAATTCTCCAGCCGGCCAAGGTTGAGGTCCTCTGCTCTGGATCTTCACCAGGTGAACAAGGAGGCTTAGGAGTCGACAGAACGCAGGTCCTTTGCTCCAGGGGGTCTCCAACCTCGGGCGTTGGAAGAGTTGTGGGCTTCAACAGCCACATAATTCCCCAGCCAGCGTGACTGGCTCCCCAGAAGACCCCCAACTTTCTGCTGACCGCCTCTTTCTTTCCTCCCCCCCCCTCCCCACCCAGCCAGCTGAAAGACGCCGAGAGCCGAAATGTGGAACTGGAAACTCAGATCAAACGCTTGAAGGAGCAGATCGAAGGCATGAAAGCAGCATCCGAGGAGGGCAAGTCCGGTCTTTCCTTCCCTGTAGACCCTCCCCCCATTCCCTGCCCTGAGCAGCTCTGCCTCACCAACTCCCCGGGGTGGACTTGGGGCGCTCCCAAACGTACAGGGAGTCCTTGACTGATGGGCTTAGTGACCGTTCGGAGTTACAACAGCACTGGAGAGGCTTACGACTGGTTTTCTCACTTATGGCCAAATTTAAAATGCTTGGCGACTGGCACGTATGTATGACCGTTGCACTTTCCCGGGGTCCTGTGCTCATCGTTTCTGAGCGACGGGGTGGCCTAGGGGTGAAGCTAATTGCCTCCCGTTCGGAAGGTTTGAGAGTTCAAGCCTAGGTAGCAGCAGATACTTCTCTTCCCAGATGCAAAGAAAAAAAAANGTTGGGGGCGATATGCTGACTCTGTAAACCGCTTAGAGAGGGCTGAAAGCCCTATGAAGCGGAATATAAGTCTAACTGCTATTGCTATTGCTATCCTGATGAAAATTCAGACTGGCTCATATTTATGACGGTCGTGGGAACACCCTCCCGAAAATGCACCAGTTGAGAGCTGAAAAGAGATAACCACAACAACAGAAAAGGAAAGGGAGAGAGGAGGAGAGGGGAAAGAGGGGAGAAGGAAAAGAAGGGGAAAGGAGAGGAAGGAGGGAAGGGATGGAAAGAGAAGGAGGGAGGGTAGGAGGGGAAAGAGGAAGAGAGAGGAGTAGGGGAGAGGGAGGGGGAAGAAGGAAAAAGAAAGGAGAGGAGGAAGGGGGAAAAGATAATGAAAGTTAGGGTGGAGATAATACAAAATAGATGTATAGAAAGACAACCTAGGATGTATATTTTAACTTTTTACATGGAACAACAAACAGGTAAAAGTGATAAAGTTAAACAATAATTATGTCAATGTGGACCTGTAACTACATATAAGAGAATACAAATAAAAAAAACTTTTTATTTAAAAAAAAAAACATTTCTGATGGTCGCAGTGTCCCGGCGTCACGCGATCCCCTTTTGTGACCTACTGACGGGAAGCCCGATTCACTTAACAACCATGTGACTTAACAGCTGCTTAACACCTGTGGCAAGAAAGGCCATAAAGTGGGCCAAAGCTCACGTAACAAATGCCTTGCTTAGCGACATACATTTCGGGCCGTAAGTCGAGAGGATGAGCTGTACGTCCTGAGTCCACTCGTGGTTCTTCCCCCAAATCCTTCTTGGCAACCGTCTCCGCTCTCTCCCCCCAACAGGGACATCAAACCTGACAACATTCTCCTCGACCGGTGTGGCCACATCCGGCTGGGGGATTTCGGATCCTGTCTCAAGCTGCGAGAAGACGGGACGGTGAGGCTTCCAACCCTAGGAGTGCGGATTTTATGGGGGGAAACAACCATCGTGGCTTAATGGTGGACCAGGGGGCTGGTTTTGACCCCAAAGACCTTTCCGATTTCCTGTCGAAGCTACACACAAACTAGGATTGCCAACGGAGGGCCGGTGCTTCAAGGCGGTCTGGCAGGGACCGCTGGGAAGGACTCCCCCCCACCCCTCTGCGCCCCACTTGTGGGCTTTCCAAAGACCCACCCACCTGCCCACCCTCCAACCTGGGCCATATCGGACACCGGATGGGGCAGTTCGGACTCTGGTTCCGAGGTTCTCACCCCCATTCTCACGGTGGCAGGTCTGTTCCACAGTGGCCGTGGGCACCCCCGATTACCTCTCCCCGGAGATCTTGCGAGCAGTGGAAGATGGGCTTCATCCCTACGGCACGGAATGCGACTGGTGGTCTCTGGGCGTTTTCGCCTACGAGATGTTCTTTGGACACACCCCCTTCTTTGCCGACTCCGTGGCGGAGACCTACGGCAAGATCCTGCACTTCAAGGTTGGTGGCCCGAAGGGCAGCCAGGTGGGTTGGGAGGGGTGGGTTTAACGTGCCCCGTGGCTGGACCCAGGTGTGAAGTTCTTGAGGGTGCCCTGCTCTACCAATTACCTCCACTCGACCAATTAGATCACATAGATTAGGCCTCCTCCGACTTCCATCAGCCAGTCAATGTCGACTGGCAACCACG